CAAAACCATCATATCATTTAATTTATCAGATATAATATTGTATTCTAGCATACAACAAGCTCTTATAAATAACGTTTATCCCCATACAACGGCACACATTGTCATGCTTCAAGTATTGCCAACAGTTAACAAGCAGTGTTTTATGTCCACATAATACAACGTGTTATTGGAGTTTCCCAATTTAAACAAACTTCAGAAATTATAAAGTTTCTGCATTCACATAATGAAGATTGTTTACTAAACACTGTGCACCTGTATCCTAAACTGTGCCCAGCGCTGACACCCACCCGACCCCCTTTCTCCCGACGTCACCTCACCTCACCGTCCAGTAGACAACAGATGGATAGTAATATATTCTGAAGCTAAACTACAAAAAGGTAACTGCTTAACTCTCCCCATCCCTCCAGCCTCCCCTACACCTGACCTTCTTCAAACCCCGCATTTCCCGGCCACCCCACACACTCACACACACAGGCTCCAGTCCTCCGCCGGCCTCCCTCTCCTAGCTCATGAATGCTGCGGATTGAAGAGTCAATACTCCTGGGGTTCACACCACACAGAAAAGGGTACACTGACAACGCTGATTGCACCGTTGGAAGCGGAAAAGGCTGTACAGTATTGTATGTACAGTCACCCAAAAAGTCTATCGCGAACCACGATTCAGACTCGTAGACGAAGCAGTAGACACTGATGCATTATTCTGTCCATAAATAATTCGGATTCAAGAGTCCGATTCTCGGGATTCATGGTTCGCGGCAGGACTTTTTGGTGACTGTACCTGAATATGTCCATATTGGAGAGTTTAGTCTGTTATATCGAGGTTCGTTAGATGCGAAACCTTTATATAACAGACTACGGTTGACTGATGTCCGTTAATTGAAGGTTTTCTATATCATGAATAGTAAAAATATTCAATAAAGATTGTAATAACTACCCCCAACTTTTCTCCGACCCCTATCACGTTGTCTTCTTACCTAATGAGCTTCATCCACTTTTAAAACATGATTTTTACTTTGTGTATTTAAATAATCGCATTATATTTTTATGCAGTTCTCGGGCATTTAGAAGCATGGCACTGCTATTTATTGCCTGCGTCAATGCTCTCATCGCTTAGGGGTGGGACCTTTTTTTCATTGTTCTGTCCCTTCTTTATGAGGGCATAGTTCATGCTGGTTTTACTTTAACCTCTCGTATGAACCACTACTTTTCGTCTATACAAATGTTTTGCTCCTGAAGTACCCATATACAGTTTCTGCTTATCGATGTATGCATATAATTACGCGTCATCTTGAGCTATAAAAAAAGATGGTTTTTGCCAACCATTACGGAGAGTGTTATGCTCAAGTCATGGGCGGACGAAAACAAATGCCGCCACAAGCCGAAACAACTCTTTAAACGCTCTTATCGGTTAGGTCTTTTTTCTATGAACTATTAAAAGGTGACTGGGGCTCAACCTCTGGGCTTCAACTCTTCTATTTTTATGTTTTTCATCCGAGTCCTAATAAAAGTTATACGGTCATCCTCACAAATGTATTCAGATAGCTCATTCAGGCAGAATGTCTTCGAGGAAGAAGCTCGGTGAATGTTCAGGCAGAATGTCTTCAGGCAGAATGTCTTCAGGCGCACTACCTGAAGGCACGACCTTGGATGATCCATTCTGAGATTTTATTAATTTATACAATTTCGAATTCCGAAGAGAGTGAGAAGCAGCGTCAACTATAACGCTATCAGCAGAAGGAACTGGATGGGGAAGGACCCATCATGGCTTATTTAATCAAATCACGCAGTTGCTACACCTCCTTATGAGACATTTATATTTCATATATCGGCCTACGACTGGTGGCTTGTTCCAAGGGGGAGTCATGGCGACGGGGGCCTTCTGCACAGGTGGGTCCCTCATGAAGCCAACAAGAAGCTCAGGGTTGTGTGTAACGTCCTATCGGTACGAGACTGTATCCGTTTTTAAATCTAATTTAATTGTTCTTTTTTCACTTTATAGTCGATATTCCATAAAAACAGAAACACCAAACCCAAACAAGAGAACACACATAACCAAAAGTTAATTTGTACGTACTAAACCATAGTTACAGTACCAGTATTTTAAGATTATGATTTATAAATTACGTTACAAACGTCAGCATATGCTATTAGATTAGGTTAGAACATAATTTCGACAACATACAGTACATGGTACATCAGTAGTGTAGAGCAATTATTGATGGAGTGAATGTAGTACTAGTGTTGTAGTGAATATTTAATACCACTGTTGGAGTGAATATGTAGTACTAGTGTTGTAGAGAACATGTAGTACTAGTAGTGGCGTGAATATGTAGTATTAAAGTGTTAGAGAGAACATGGAAGTACTAGTGTGGAAAGTGAATATGTAGCACTAGTGTTGTAGTGAATATGTAATACTAATGTTGAGTGAATATAGTAGTACTGCAAGTTGTATTGAAATATGTAGTACTAGTGTGGTAGAGGGAGTATGTAGTACTAGTGTTGTAGAGAACATGTAGTAATTAGTGTGGTAGAGAACATTTATATAATTAGTGTAGTAGTGAATATGTAGTATTAGTGTTGTAGTGAATATGTAGTACTGTTGTAGTGAACAAGTAGTACTAGTGTTG